TCATTAATACATTTACCTTCTCAAGACAACTCAATTCCTTGTGCTTTTTCATCACACAATTCAAAATATCACAAATAATTTGGATTTTCCATTCTGCAAATCCACACTGGAGAAACTGCTTTTTTGTCAAGATTGGTTTATAATTAAATTGATCGCGAAGAAGCTGTAAAGAGGAAATAGATCAATGTAATAATCAGGAGCAATTTCTTTCGAAAATCCAAAATGACAAATGACCATGTGATCAGGGGTGTAATGCCATTTTTGAGAGGAGAAGGGGTAGGATGAAGCCGTTAAGTAAAGGGCGCTAAAGAGATGTGTAGGCATAGAGTGGGTCACGACCAGGAAGAACAGGTAGGAGAAAGGTAGCTGGGGATGTACGGAGTATGGCTGGCTGTCCAGAGCGATGGAGAAGGATAGCTAATTGTCAGCAAGTTCAAGTATCCTCATAGGTACTGGAAAACCTCAGCTCACTGTAGAAGATCAGCACACCAGGTATCAGAAAACCGCAGTTCTGTTTGCCTAGAGAAATCATGACTTGATTTTTAAACAAGTCAGTAGACTACTGAGGTTCAATTTCTCATTTGCAAAATGAGAGAAATAGATTAAACCGGTAATTCGCAGAACTTTCTCTGGAGAACCTGAGGATTTCTTAGACGTGCCTCTCGGGCTTCCAGGGGAGCTTTCCGGGGTGAAAGGCAAGGAAAGGGAAGATGAGACAGACACCACATACAAAAGCTACCATTTCATCAAATGCAGCTCTCTACTCAAAAAAGAAAACAATGAGATTTGATTTGGTAAGTGGGCTTTGTATTTTTTTAAAAAGGTTAAGAAAACCACAGTACTCCAGCAAAAATTAATGATACAAAGTAAGGTTTTCAAAAATCAAATAGGAGATTAAGTTCAGGACACACAGAGCACAAGTGCAGACACCAGGGTAGACAGTAAGACAGGGCTTCAGACCTTAAGGAGCGTAAGTTCTTCCAACATAAGTTGTAGTTCCTTCTTAGAAACAACTAAATTAATTCACAACTCTATGAACCACAAACTTGACTCAATAAAGCCACGTTTTTTTTTTAATAAAACCACATTTCTCCATAACTTCTGCCAATAGACCAAATTTTATTAAAACTCGATATAAAAAGGACAAATGACAACTAATGATGAACGTTTACCAGCTGCCATATTTGTTAGTGTATGAAACGTAAAGCAAACTTGAATTGCATCTTGATTATAGTAGGGATTCTATTTACTTATTATTCTCTATTATTATACATTGTTTTTATTGAAGTATAGTCAGTTCACAACGTTGTGTCAGTTTCTGGTGTACAGCATACTGCTTCAGTCACATAGGAACATACATATATTCATTTTCATAGTCTCTTTCACCATAAGTTAGTACAAGACATTGAATAGAGTTCCCTGTGCTGTAGAGTATGGACTTGTTTATCTGTTTTTTATATATTAGTTAGTATCTGCAAATCTTGAACTCCCAATTTATCCCTTCCCACTCCCTTCCCCCCCAGTAGCCACAGGTTTGTTTTCTATGTCTGATAATTACTATATTTAAATAAGATGAATGTATATGAAAACACTCTGTCAACTACACATGCTGCACATAGTTCAGGAGTTATGAAAACATGGACCTTAAAAGAACCACTCAGTGACCTGCGAAAGAATGACTGTTCCATGAATTCACAGTACCTTATAGACGGTATCTATAAAGCGCAAGTCATTCTTTGCTAGGAGCTCCACGTTGGACTCCAGCAGAAGTTCTGTTACGTAAGGCGAGTACGAGGTGAGGGAATAGCTGATGATGGGCAGGGATGCTGCGGTGTCTCCTTTCACCAAACTGTTAGGAAAGAGATGCTCAGCGAGCATAATCCCACCAAGTCGGGTAATCAGGGAAGCGTAAGAAACGCTGTCAAGATGGGCCGCTCCCGCCATCATCACTAGGTGGGGCCCAGACCCTTCAGGTCCTACCTGCTGCTCTAAGCTCAGACAGCCGCGTTACTGTGAAACAAAGCTCACGCTCACTCATCGGTGCCACGAGCCTATTTCCCACAGAACTGGCGGAATTGTCAGAGCCTAGCCTGGCGGGGCCATTTCCTCCTCCTAAGAGAGCAAACGCACTGCCCCCTAGGGCCCAAGGCCACCCCGTGGCTTTGCGAACGCGTCTCACCTTCCCTCACCTGCTCTTCACCACAAGCCTGCAAAGGCGAAACACCGCCAGGTCTAAGTTCCAGATGAGGAGCGAGGCTGGACCAGGCCTGGACCGTGACGGGCTGGCCAGCTGACCGTCCTCCCGACGGCCAGCACGTGTGAAACCGCGCCTTAGCAGCTAATTCCTCCAGCCCAGAAAGGCTTCCCCCTCTTCTCTGTCATGTGCCAGCCATTCTTTTTTCTTTTTTGTTTTTTTCAATTTCTACTGTTTTTATTTTTTTCTTATTTTTAGTTTTTTAAAAAAAATTTTGGGGGGAGAGGTACTCAGGTGTTTTAGAGGAGGTACTGGGGTTGAACTCAGGGCCTTGCGTATGCTGAGCATGCGCTCTGCCACTTGAGCGACACCCTCCCCCCATGTCATCCGTTCTTTACGAATCAGTCAACTCTCAAGTCTTCCAGGATGCCATTCTCAGCTTCCTGACCCACAGGGACCCCCCACTGCAACGACTCCCGGTGCTCAGCACATGGCACCACACGCTCTGCCAGAGCCCGTTTCCAGTCGTCCACACACGTGCACACATTTCTCAGAGTGAAGTGCCCTCACTGATTCTCTCACAACAAGGCCCCAGCGTATTTATTTAATGGAGGCAATAATGTACTTAAAACATTTGCTTTCCACAAAATTCATACTTGTACGTAAATCTCTCCATCCCCGCCCCATTTTTTTTAAAATAAGGCAGGGGACAACTTTGATGATAACACTATATTTTGGGTTTTTTTAGGACAAACATAATTGTTTCTCTTTTATGTTGATGGGTACAGTTATAATTTACCCAGTGAGGAAACTGCTCGGGCAACCTTGTCTATATGTGAGAAGGTTCAAAACAGGAAATGAAAAAACACTTTTTCACAGCAAAATCTGTCCATCTTATGCACAATATGAATAGAAAACAGCCAGGTCTGCATTTAATACCTCCTATGTTAAATGATCTCAGAACTCTTGGTTATCTAGTTTTTAAGGACTTCGCCTAGAGAGTAAGAAAAGCAGAATATAAATTGGCACACCAACACAAAAACCAGACGTCAGTAAAAAATTTAAAAATGGGAAAAAATATAAAGAATCAAAATACGTGGAGGGTGTATCTGTGTGTGTGTGTATGATGGGTTGGGGAGAGGAATCTGGCAGCAAGTAGCATTACCTACCTGAGATAAACCCTCAGACATCACTCGGTTATAAGATAATCTAAACTTGTTCTTAATGTGACTCTGGGGTCAATGAGAAAATCAGATGTTTGAATGCTACACTCAGAAGACACCTGTGCTAGAGGTCTCAGTACAAAAATGCAAGAAAAAGAAATGAAAGGAGTAAAGACTAAAAAAGACTAAAAAGGAAGAAATAAAAAAATAATAATGAGGAAGAAATAAAAATGTCATTAGTCACAGATGACATAATTGTATTTGACCAAATCCAGTTTCACTCACTATACGCCTGATCCAGACTTGTCCCTTGACATGTTCATTGAATACATGTCTAATTAGCTTCTGAGACGTGCCAGGTACATTTCTGGATGTGGGGGACACGCAGGGAACTCAACAAAAGCACCAGGCGGCAGGCTGCACTGTAGCAGGAGAAACATTTAATGCCTCACTGATCGCAGGCAGGAAGAAAAGGGGCTATGACGGGACAGGGGGACGACGGGAGCGCCAGATGAGACCGGCAGAATCACAGAGGAAAGGAATGCTGCTATATCCTACAGAGGCACGTAAGGCATATTTGCAAAGTGGAAACTAAAGGAAAAGGTTCCAAGTGGAGCTATTAAATAAGATAGCATTAAATGAGATAGCTTAATACCATCTTCAAGCATGGAGTAAGTTGTTAAAATAAACCTATCACCTAGAATCTTCTAAATCACAAAGGAATACTATCCAACTGAACGAGAGAGGGTGATAAATTATAGAACTAATGAAATCTATTACACTTCCGAGAGATTCAAATTTGCACAAAGACCACCCCTTTTATGCTTCTACTTCTGAAAGTTGTTTTAAATCTCTTGTGTTGGGATTTTTCATTAATTCATACTTAGAAACAGATTCCTAACTGCTTTCTAAAATACCTTCATCTCAAGGAAAACATTTTAAGGACCCAGCTAAAGCCTGTAGTTTTATTTAGATGTTCCCCTCATGTCACAGACCACCTCGAATCATTCCTGAAAATAACGCAAAGAAGTCTGCTGCTGTGGCTCACCCGACACAGTCCACCTCCCGCGGGTAATTCAGCGAGCGAAGCACCTGTTCCAGGTTCCGTAAGCTTCTTTTTAAGTCACCGGTTGCCATTCTTTAACAGTCGATCCAGATCCAGCTTAGGAAATTAATTTTTCACCTAAAAAAAAAAATCAATGAAACACTAAGTCTTTGCTGTTTGTTAAGCTTCTCTAATTTCTTTCGTTCGTATCTCACACACAGTTGCCACAGCTATCTTAGCTACGTCTCCCCTAATTTACCTCCCGTACTGCTCTACTACGGTCTTGTCTTTAGTATCTATTCCTGCGTATCAGGTGTGTTTTTCCCTTTAGTATTTTTCATCAGAAAAAAAAAGTCTGCCTCTACGTTCATCTTTTTACAACATGACTAATAGTCTATGACACTCTCCCAAATACTTAATTTTGAATAACAAGGTACCTCTTGGGGTGATATCACCGTAAAAGACTCTCCACCAATGACTATTTTGGATGCTTATAAAGGCTACACAATAAAATCAGGGAGAAAGGGAGACAGAGAAATTTAGCACAGATTTCATGATTATTCCCAGGGCTCTGAACTTACACAGTTGCAAATCAGATGCTTTGCATTAAAAAAATAAAATAGATATTTTTGTAATTAGAGAATATAAACCTAAAATATTACATATTTAAAAAAGAAAAAAAATAGATGAGTTAAAAAATTTTCGGGATTCAGCTAGCTAAATATGGCAGATTAAATGCATGCTACTTCATTCCCTTTTTCTAAACACCACTAAAATGAAAGCTTCCAGTGGTCAAAGCTGAGATGATTTGAACAGCAAAAACAACAAAATTAGAATAATTTAATACATTGACAAATAATGAAGAAAAGCCTTATGATTATTTCAATACATATAGAATAGGCATTTGATAAAATTCAACATCCCTTCATGCTCTAATTCTTAGGACATCAGCAATAGAAGGGAACTGCCTGAAGTTACCTGCAAAAAAGTCTACTGTGAACATCATACTTAGTAAGGAAATACTGAAAGCTGTCTTCCTGAGACTGGGAAAAGGCAAGCTTGTCCACTCTCACCATTTCTATTCAACATTGTGCTAGAGGTCTTAGTACAAAAATGCAAGAAAAAGAAATGAAAAGAGTAAAGACTAAAAAAGACTAAAAAAGAAGAAATAAAAAAATAATAATGAGGAAGAAATAAAAATGTCATTAGTCACAGATGACATAATTGTATTTGACAAAATCCAAAAGAAACGTGAATTTAGCAAGGTTGCTGGACAGAAGGCCAATACACAAAAATCAATTGTATTTCTCTGTATTCCCCAAAGAACCAGAAAATGTTTAAAAATACATATTTATAAATAACTCACTAGCCTCAATAAATATCAAAACATGTGACTAAATCTAAAACAGGTGTGTAAAACTGCAAAACAAAAAATAAGTAAATAAATAAAACTTTACTGAGATAAATAAAGGAGCTCTAAATAAGAGGTCTACACCCTGATCAAGGATTTGAAGACTTAGTAAGTTGATCCATAGAGTCAATATATTTCCTCCATTCCATGCCTCCCAAAAACTCCCTACAGTTTAAGATGGAAATTCACAAGCTGATTCCAAAAGCTACATAGATACGCAAGAGATAAATGATAAATAACACAATGTGAAAAAGGTCAAAACTGGAGGATTTAACCACTAGACAATAAGACTCATTATAAAGTTAAATTTACAATTATTGAAAAGGTGTACAAACAGACCAGTGGAACAGAACAGAGTACAGAAATGGACTGTGTGTACATCAACACTAGATTTATGACAAAGGTAAGGAGCCCTGGAGAGCGGATGGTCTTTTCCAATAAATGTTACTGTGTCAAATGAATATCCAGATGGAATAAATAAACCTTGACCCCTTGATGTAAAGGGTACCTCACATCCTTCACAATTAATTCCAGGTTTGTTGAAACTCTAAATGTAAAATGTAAGAGAAACAGGCTTTCTGGAGATCACAGAGTAGAATATTTTTATGATCTTCAGGTAGATAAAGATTTCTTGTCTCATGACTGATAAATGAAACACATTAAAATCACTAACTTTTGTTATCGAAAGACATCCTAGGAGAGTGGAAAGATAAGCCACTGAGCGTAAGCTGATGCTGTCATTACATATAACGAACAAAAAGATTACCTAAAATATGTAAAGAACTTCCTACAGAGTAACAAGAAAAAAGAAAGACAGCTCAATAGAAAAATGGGAAAGAGACTTGAAAGGGAAAGAGACTCAAACAGGAACTTTGCAAAAGAGTAAACCTGAAAAGATACACAATCTCATTATGAAATTACAAAATAAATCCAAAACGGGAGGCTGTAAAGCATCTGAAACAGAACACAATGCTGTGAAAGGGTAAGTTAACACAATTGCTTTAGGAAACTTACTGGCAATATCTACTGACATACACAGGGCCCATGAAACAGGAATGTGACTCCAAATAACACAAATAACAGAATATGGCTGTATATTTATGTGCACCCAAAGACAGGAACAAGACTTGAGATTTTAAATAAAATGGCTCATTTTTTTAAATCTCAAAGAAAATAATACCATGGAATTTTATATATATATATAAAAATATATATAAAAAATTATATATATATATATATTTTTTTTTTTAGTAGAGGTCCTGGAGATTGAACCCAGGACCCCGTACATGGTCAGCACACCCTCTACTACTGAGCTATACTTACCCCCACCACGGAATTATATTTTTAAATGACTCATTTTATTGCATGGGGTAGGACTTTCATTAGATTCTCAAGGGAGGCTATTCCCAAAGGAGGTTCATAAAATAAATGGTTAAGAACTTTTGCTAGAAATAGACAAAAGGCTTCTAAACTGCAAATTTAATCAATCAGCAAGTCACAGCTCAATGACACAATTAAAAATATCTAGTATTTGTAACTATCCATGAAAACTTCATAAGGGGAATAACACATAATACCTTGAGTATTGAATCCTCTGGGATTGAAGCGCCTCTAAAACGAAGTCACTGACATTAAAGACAAAACAGAACAATCCATAAATCAGGAGCAGTGGAGTTAGCATGATCTTTTCCCCTAGTCAACATTCCAGCAGTTGCCTGGATACAAATCACCTTCTTACACACCTTCCCTGTATCTATACATAACCAGAGGTAAATCAGGCTGAGGATTTGCAAAGTCCAAAATTTAGTAAGCTTTCTATTTTAAGGCCCTGGCCACCCGCTTCTGTATCCTCTCCTCCTCTTAAAGGGCTCCAAGTCTCCTTTCCTTTAGCAACATGGTGAAAAACAGGTTATTGAATATACTTTTAAACACTCACTCATGAGTCTGAGTCAGTAGTTTTCAGCCAGTCAATTACTTCAACAAAACATTTACATTTTTAGGCAGAGGGAATTTCAGGTAGTGTCAAATGGGAGGGAACTAGAAAAAGAGGAGGTGATCTTAAAATCACATTCCACAAAATACTGGCCAAGAAGGTAAAGCTTATTTAACATCTTTTAGGATGACTTGGGGGGGGGGGTGGATGTACATATGGAAGCAGTTAAAGATGACTTCCCAAGACCAGCCTTTATTTTCCTGGGGAAGATGAAGTGGGAACTAATCTAGCTGTTGACTGCAAAAAATATAAATTCTTGGGTGATGCCACTGGCCAATACAGTAGGTCGTAGCTTACTTTAAGTTCCAGACCCATGTATCTTAACACTTCCAGGGGCACCTCTTCTCCTAAGACATTCTATAACTTTAATATAAATTTTATCTCTTCCCGCAGACTTCCTTTAATCTTTCCAGATGTATTTTCCATCTTTGCAGTACATGGAATTTTTGTTTTCTTTAACACTTTACAGTCTTTCCATCCTTCCTTTCTCTGAAGTCCTGTAACATATATCAATGTCTCATTATTTCTACCTCTGGTAATGGAATTTCTGACAACAAAGTATGTCCCTGGAACACATCCTCTTCAGTACCAGCAGAATACATTGAAGAAGAGTAAGATACAAAGTACAGCTGGGATCTGTAGGTGAAGGAGATAAGTGATGAAACAGGATAGAAAAACTAAAGGGATTAAAAAAAAAATAAAGAGTATTACAGAAAAAAAATTACAGCTACTGCTCTACATTTTCATGAAAGGCTTTACTATTATACAACTGAAAAAACACTAAAAATTAAGACATTAAAAAGCCAATCTAGGACTTACACACATTTTACTACAGTGCTTTTAGAGATGAAAAATAACTTGCTTTTTAAGAAGTCGCTTAACATTATTGCGTTATAACCCTCACAATAGGAAACTAAAAGGAAAAAAGCACATACTGCTGCTCAGCTTGTGGTGTAGATTCAGCCACTAAGATGGCCTCAATACCGCTTCCCAGCTTCCACCAGAGTTCTCTGCTGCCACTTAGATCTGCCCAACTGAACTTAATACAGGAGATAATGGAAAATGATATGAAATAGCAGGTTAAGATTTTTAACCTACTCCAACCTCACTGTTGTTGGAAGTCATTTAAACGATGCCTTCCAATGGAATGTCACTGAACTCTGGTTTTTGCTCAGAATGAAGCAAATAAACTAAACTAGTGTAATGATTACGAACGATGGTTAAGAGTTTGAGACAGCGCAAATAACGCTGGACATCATCTATCAAAACTAGAGAGGGGGAAAATGGGGGAAACGGGGAGCAAAGAAAGGTCAAGGTCACAACTCTGTGGGATAGCTGTGCTCACATAGAAAACTATTAAAAGTCTGTGAATAACTTTAGAAAAATTATCTACTATGGCTATAATTCTGGAATCCACATTTCAAGATTGATTTTTTTTCCATACTGAGGGAAACACAGGAAACGTGGAGAAACACTGAAACGCTAGGGAAATGCAAAGGAGAGAAAACATGGGCTACTTTCGTCTCGCCCTTCTACTCAGTATTTCCGAGGAGCCGGATCGCTCTTCAGCTCAGAGGCTGCAACGGGAGGAAGCAGTCTGTGACTTCCCCACTCTAAGTCACAGCCTAGTCCCAGAGGATGAGGGGCCGCGGTTCTGCGAGTCCTCCCACGCTGTTGTTATCAAAAGGATATCCCAGTTGGGTCCATGGGCAAGGCACGTCTAGGGCTCTCCTCCCCCGACTTCATTTAAAAGGAGGAAAGGCCGACCTGGTCATTCGCCCCCGCCCGGAGCCTCGGTTAGGGCAGCGGAGAGAGGCGACCCCTGCCCAGCCTGGGTCGCAGCCTCGCCAGCTCCCCCGGGCTCACCCCGCAGCGGCCCAGCAAAGAAGCGGGCTCTGAAGGCCTCCGGACGGCCCCGCGCAACAGGCAGCAGAGGCGGCAGCATGTGCTACCCGAGAGCCCCGGCAGCCCCGGGAACCCCGGGAGCCCAAGCTCCAGCAGCGAGTCCCTGCGGCCCGACGCCCGCGCCCGGACGCGCTCCTCGCGCCGACCGTTTGTATTGGGAGCCGCGGGTGGAATCCCGCCATGCACCGCGGCAGGGCCCTCCAAGAAGCCGGCTCTTCCGCGCTCCTTGATTCCGCGCTGCAGATTCCACAGCACGTTTATCCAGACCCCTGGGGAGACTGACCCTGCCGAGGGCCTTCTCGGCGGCCAGTCCGACCCCACTGTGCAGATTCGAGGTCTGTCCAATTTTGAGGCTCTGCGATGATCGGACTGAGAAGTGAGAAACAGGGGCGCTGTGGCGAATCGGAGGCCAGGGAGATGAAAATACTTCTTCCTGGAGGCTCCGAACCCTGGCGTCACTTCCGGCAACAATAGGAAACGTCAAAAACTCCGCGGCTCCGGCAGCTGCAGCCTCAGGCGCGCGGAGTTCCGAGGGGTTCGGAGTTCTGTCTGGGCTTCTTCCCGCCGTCTCCTCCGCCGGCGTGAATCAGTAAAGTGGGAGCCGGCTTCTCCATGGCCTGGGCACCCGTTCCCGGCTGAGCCATTTCTTTTTGGCTAAAAGCCCCCGCCGAGAGGCCGAGTCGTCGCGGCGGCGGTGGGGATCGCAGGTCGCTCAGGTACGCGCGCCGCTCTCGGTATTTCAGAGCTCTTGCCTGTCCTCCCCCTACACCCCTACTTTTCTTCTCGGACATAGAGACAAGCCGGTGCTTGCCAGTTGGCAGAAACTTGCCAACCAGCCAGACTTTGGGACCAATGACAGTGCAAAGCATCTTGAGTGACAGCGGTGATGGCTTATGAAAATGAGGGACGCGCGTCAGGAGGCGGGAGTAGGTGTGTTCCTTGAATTCCTAGGCCACTGGGGTGTGGGTTGGCTGGAGACCCCAGGTGTGACTCGGCTTCATTCTGAAGTAAAGCCGGGAAACAGCCAGCAGGGCTTTCTTCCAGCCCAGATGTTGCTTTTCAAGTAGTGGGGTGCTTTTTGTTTGTTTGTTTGTTTGTTTGTTTTGTTTGTTTTGGGTGCATGGGCACCGTTTTCGGTTCTTTACAGTACTTTCCAGGAATATGAATGCAGACACATACAGTTAAGGTCAGGGTGGATTGCCAGTTGCTTCAGCTGTTAAACGTTGGTTATAAATTTAGCAAATTCTTAATCTGTCGTCACTTGTTTGTTTCTGTGCGACTGGCCTCTAGTTTCTTACGTGGTGGGTGCTCAATTAATGTCGTTGGATGAAATCACAAATAGATCCCAATCCCTAGTCATTTAAGTGTTTTCTTTATTTTTAAGTTCTTTATGTATCTAATAATAATTGAATCTACTTGGTTTGCCAGGTGGAATTTTTATTTTCAAGGATCCTAGGTATTTCCTCTCCAAATCAATATATCACGACCTTTATTACTGCAAAGTGATGCTAATTTATGTTTTCCATTTCACCTTTTCTTTTTTTTTCTTTTAATGTTTGGAGTTTCATAACCGTATTCCTGAGATAGGAGGGATTCCCCTCCTAAGAAAATGGTTTACAAAATTGAGTAGATATCAGAATGAAAGTAAATTTTATTCTGTTTTTAGGTTGAGTAGGAAACTTGCCATTTTTATCCAGTTAGCTTGACATTTTGTCTGAGACGCTGGATGCAGTATGGCAGCTGGCGTTCCCTGGAGTGAGCAATCCAACAGAGAGCACCCAAGACTCTCTGTAGTCTTTATAACCTAATCTCAAAAGTGGCATTCCCATCCCTACTGCCATATTGTATTGTCAGAAGTGAGCCAGTAAAATCCAACTCTGAATCATTGTGGAGAGGATTATGCAAGGGCGTGAATCCCAGGATGCAGGGGTCTTTGGGAGCCATCTTAGAGGCTGCCTAACACTGATACCGTGGCTGATAGGGTAGGAATAACTGAGCAAAAATATATTCATGAGAAATGCCTGATTGTAATGAAATAGACAAACTTACACAAGGATTATCTTTCTTGGAAGGTTTTTAGTTTGTTTTTTGGGTTTGTTTTGTTTGTTCGTTTGTTTTTTTCTCCCTACCAATTACCTGAAGAAAAGCTTACTATTTTTCTTGGAACGCTTTGCTTAAGGGATGATGTGTGTGAGAGGAAGGTTTGTGTTTTAGGGTCTCCAGGAGCAAAGCATATCACAGCTGGAGTTTGTGTGTTCCTTACTTACTGCTATTTCATGTGGCTGAAATTGTCTCAAAATAAACACAAGCAGAGGTAGCTTGTAAGGTGGAAAGGAGTTAGGAAAAGTTAGAGGTAAGCCTTTCTGGTGAAGAAAGAACATGGCAGTCTTTATGTTGGGAGCAGAGCAAATAGGGGTGGGAAAGGTGTGTCTGAGAACAGAAATGGGTCTTGTGTGTTTGTAAGCATTATCAGGTGGTAGGTACCACCTTCTCTCAGTGTGACCTAGACGCACATTACCATCACAGCTTTAGACAGTGAATCTAATCAGCATATTGGAAACGAAAGGTAAAGGCTTTCAGGTTTACTGTGATACTGTTTTGGCTGTGACCCACTGTAAAAATTGCCTGTGCTTCTTCCAGGTTTGAAAGATGTTGTAAATCCTTCATAAAGTATTGTTCAAGTTTATCTTTTATATCTCAGGTGCTTAATACCAGCCTGTGTCCATTCTCAAATTGTTGTTAATTTGGCTTTTAAGTTGGTGCTTCGTATCAGGTTCATGTACTTCATTTATAGTAGGTAACGGCCACTTAGCTAATGTAGTTTGGGCCCCTTCGACATCTGCCAAATTTTAAACAGGTGCTTTTGGAAATAACCCCATTGAAATACTTCCATCCACAAAACATCTTATGGTAATAACTAAATAAGCTAAAGCATGTATCATAATTTATTATCCATGTGATCAGTTTAATATGGACTGTTTTGTGTGTTTATTGTGCTTTTACATAGATGAAAAGATAGTCATTTTCCTTATTTCACAGTATAAAAACATTGAAGTGCCAAGAAATTATCTTTTCTTTGATCACAGTGCACTGAAATTAGTCATTCAAATTTATAGTTTTATAGTTTGTTACTCACCCAGCTGCTGTGTACAACTCTGTTTTTTTCCCCTACGTTTTGATTCAGATTTGGAAACTGGATAGTCCTCTGGCTGACCTGTGATAATGTGTCAAAATCATTAATATGAAGTCTGTGAAATGTACATATAACTTGTATTACCTTTTCATTGAAGTATTTTTAATGTTTTAAAACAATCTACTTCTAGAAATTTATGTTCCCTATTCTTCATTTTGTCTTCAACATGTTGCTTTTCTGACATTTATTGATGTTGATTCTACAGTAAACTAAAACATCCTTTCTTAAATAAGTTTTGTATTTGATTTGGGGCAAGTGCTTTCTGTGATGTAGAGATGAGAAAAGAGGTTTGGTTTTAAGTTTAGGCAGCAGGTTTAGGGAGTTGAGCCCTGTAATCAGCAATTTGTGTATTTTTCAAGAGCAGATTGCAGAAGGTTTCATAAGCTATTTGAAAGAAGGAACAAGATTTCAGCCGGTGAGCCAGGCTGGGAGAGCCTCGTCTGCTCATGCTGAGTAGTGATTTGTGGAAGCCATGAACACGGGGGAAAAGAGATGCTTAATGCACTCATCCGTCTCCATCACCTCTCCATTTTAGGTTAATTTTTTAGGATTTTCTCACTTTTATAGAATTGAAGAGTTTTATAGCTAAAAGAGACTTTTAGGGATCAAGGATTAAAATCCTTGTTTTCTGGGTGAGGAAACTGGGGGTTTGAAATGTAAGTGACTTGCCCAATACTCCCAACTAGTTACAGAAGGAGCCTGAATCAAGTGTCAGTCTCTCTTCATTGCTAGCTGTTTTCTCATCTCATTATTGACTTTCCTCCCATTTTGGGCTGCCATCAATATTTATTTTATTTTAGTACCTTGTCTGATTTGTATAAAAGCAATTCAGTGAGAATTACAGTTTCTGTTTTGTTTTTTAATTCCACAGCCCTCGTAGGAATGGCCACTGTGGTTGGTGGGCACGGAGCGTGGTGGCCCCAAGGAGGGGGGTTGGGATATGCTGCCGTGGCCGCTGCTGATTACAGTTGGGTTGAGTAAGGAGTGCAGTCAGAGAATCAGCGCGATTAAAACCAATGCTGGTGAGAAGTCTGATTATTTTATTTTAAAGTTTAAGCAGACGGTGGAACATTTCTTGCTAAAGAAACTGAAGAAATTAAAGAAGTGAAATTAAATAAGCCCCAAATTCTCCACTTTCTGGTTACATTTCAAATAACACATCTTAATTTTTACATTTGTTTAGATGCCATTTGGTAACCACTCGTTGTAAAATCAAATTAAAGAACAGGAAAAAACCTTCAGGAAACAAAGTAATATTGTAAATCTTTTTGAATTAAAAAAAAAACACCCTACAAATGGTATGCCTCTTAGTAACAAAAACTGCTCTTGCAGGACCAGATCTTTAAATTTAATGAGTAGGGTTTTTTTTTTTATGTGTTTAATGTACCCTGTGACCTCTTAGTACTTAGCTATTTCCCCTTTCTCCTCAGAAAGACCTCCTTGTGGACTTACCCTTCCTCCATTTCTCTACGGTTGTTGGCCTTTCAGTGTTAGAAGTGTGATTGGTTATCAGGTTTTTTCTTTTCTTTTCTTTTCGTCCCCCCTCTGCTGAGTCTGTTCTAAACGACTTTGGTGGTCTGTTCTCTTGGAAGTCGAGAAATAAATTCTGGGCTGCCAATTTGATTATAAGTGTCTCATAGAAAGTATTTTCTCACAGAATGTCCCGTGCTCTTGTGCCACTGAATGATATCACAGGATAACACTTGATGTTTTTTTTAAAACCTAAAGTAATCAAAAATCTAGTTGTTACTTTCCAGTTGGAAAACAATTGAAAATTTCTAAGAAAATATAAATGAGTGAACTGCCTCATATTTAAGTCTTAATAGAATTTGCACTTTAGAGATAACGCTCTTGGTACACACGTTAGATCTTTATCTGAGAGGGGAAATTTCTTATTCATAAATTCTGCTGTTTAGACACTTAAGAAATACTGAAGAAAAGTAACCATTCATACTGAGTATTTAATTTAGCTTATTCATGTCACTCATCAGTAACCAGTGACTTGACACTGCTTGCTCAGGAAGAGGCTTTGTGGGATCAGTTTGCTTCAAACAAAAGCATGTAAAGCAGGATGCTTTTTTGAGACCTCCAGACTGCTTTGTGCTCTTCTGGTCATCTGCTGCGTGTCATCCACCCACCTAATTGATGTATGAACCATTCTTTTTTTTTTTTTAACTTATTCATTTGTTTATTTTAATGGAGGTCCTAGTGCATGCTAACCATGTGCTCTACCACTGAGCTACACCCACCCTAAACCATTCTTTATTACATGTAGTCTTTTCCACAGCATGTGCTGTGTGAGTGCTCAGTGCCATAGAATTACTGAAAGCAGTAGTGCGGTATGTTCTCATAGAATAGTACTTCATTTGATGTTTAACTTGCTGCATAGGAATGTTTTGATTAAAGCTACTTAATATATTTTACAGATAATTTTATATTAGATGTACCAACAGCCATTAATAAAGTAATC